CCCCAACAGCCAGCGGCAGCAGCAGCAGCAGCAGCAGGGCTGGCAGTGGTGGCCTGCAGCCGCCAGAGCGCACCAGCGACCCGCGCTGCGCTCCCCCTGCCCGCACCGCACCAGGGGGCTGGTCCGGCAGCATCTCCCTCCCTCCTCCCCCCTTCTGCCACGAGGGAAAGGGCGACAATGTCGAGCCAGGGCTTGCAGGGCACCGGCCGGCAGCCCTCGAGGAACGGCTCCGGTGCTGCTCCCCCTGAGCCGTGGGCTGCGCGCCCCTGCTGCAGAAGCACCCGTGGGATGGGGGACGGGCTTGCAGCGGCCCCCTGGCCGGCAGCACGCTGGCAGCTCCAGGACCGAGCCCTTCCCAGGCACGGCGGAGAGGAGGAGGACGCAGCCCCAGCCCGTGCTTACCTGCAGGGCCTGGTGAGCGATGCTCCCACCCCCGAGTCCCGGCGCTCCCGCATCTCGATCTCTTCAGCCTCGTTGAGGGAGTTGCCCGTGCTGTCAAAGTCGCTGGCAGAGGTGCCGACATCCGACATGGACCGCTCTTCGAAGTGCAGGTTGGAGGGTTCCCCTCCCGAGTCCGACTCTTCATCCTCATCCTCCTCGCCCCCTTCCTCCCCAGCCAGGTCGGGGGAGATGGCTTTATACCAGAGCTCCACCTTCTGCTGCAGCCCCCACATGTGCTGCAGTATGTCATCGAGGTTCTCGTAGGTCACCTCCCCATCCTCCTTGCAGAAATCCTCGCTGCTGCCGAACTCTGGCACGTTGTCGTACACACTGACCCGGCTGCCCAGGGAGCTGCAGGAGCCCCGCCGCCGGCGGCAGGCGAAGCCCCGCGGGGAGCACGAGCCCTCCACGCTGCTGCTGCTGCCGCCCCCACCACCTCCCACCAGCCCGACAGGCGCATTCCCCGATTTCCAGTGGGTCAGGGAGCTGCCACCCAAGGGACACAAGCTCTCGATGGAGAGGGATTTGGGGAAGGTGCCCGGCTTGTGGTCCCGGGGGATATAGACCAAGCAATCCCCCCGGCATGCCTGCCGGTGCTGGCACTCTCCAGCAGCCCAGTAGCTGCTGGCTGTCACGGCTGTTTCGTAGTCCTCCAGGTAGACTCCACTGCGTTTCGAGTCAGAACTCACCTTGCTCCCGCCTGAACCTAGCAAGCGGTTAGTCCTGTACGATACCGAGAAGAAGTGTTTTTTGCCACGGAAAGAGGCAGATATTCCTCTTTTAGGGGAGTTGCCCTTGTTGGCTGCAAGGTCCCCATTAGCCTTCAGGGACCCCCATCCTGATGTGGCTGTGATGCTGCCATGTGGGGCCGCCTTCTCGTCTGGGCCAGCTTTCTCTTTGTCCTTCCTTCGGAGGGACTCAATCCTCTTTAGGAAGCTGCGAGACCGTCGCTTCTTCAGCTTCTCCTTGGAGCCCTCGCTGTGGCTCGAGGGCTGCTCCGGCAAGGAGCGCTCACTCACACTGCGGCTGGAGGTGGTGATGGCGGCGGCAGTGAGGATGGGGGACGGGGGGTCGGGCGGCGTGGCTCCAACGCCCAGCGTGCTGCCACTGCTGTGCAGGGACACAGCCTCCGGGTTGGTGCTGAGGTCTGTGAGGACGCTCTCGTGGCTGGACGCCAGCCGCATGGTGGAGCTCAGGACCTCAGAGCCCTGGGAGAGGACGTCGACGGACCCCACCCGGGACCACCTCTTGCTGTCCCTCTGAAAAGCCCACCGGTCACTGATGGCGCACAGGTCTTCCTCCTCGGAGTCTTCATTCTGCAGGCGGTTGAGAACAGGGGACAATCAATCAGTCAGAGTCACAGGGGGTCGGCACGTCCCCCTGCCCCGCTCTCCTGGGACAAGCACCCCAGCGGAGGGCACAGTCCACAGCATGGCCCCTTAAACCCACTCTGGTCCCTTTAACAACAGAGGGCTCCAGGAGCCGCCAGGCATCATTTTGCCCACGCCCAAGGGCCATACTGCCTGGGCAAGGGAAGGTGCTGTTTCCAAGCTACCTCTGGAGAGCTCACAGGCAGTTGGGATGTCCCTGCGGAGCCTCCCCACAAACCCCCGGCCACGCACGGCAGCGCAGAGAAGGATGCAGGGCAGAATCCCTTCCCAAGCCAAAATAAGGGCAGTCAGAACAAGCAGGGATACACCCATGTAATGACTTCCATATGCTAAACACCAAGCTGGCTTGCATTTTAAATGTATTATTCATTAAGGGAAATATAAAAGGTTTTGTTATTAATATGCCAATATTAATTGTTGTTTGTGACACACGGACTGGTTTCACCCGTCCCTCTGGGGTCAGGCTTCCTCCTGGAGATGTGCGGCCAGGGGGTCTCAGAGCCCGGCTCAGCAGAGACCCCGAGGGTGATGCTGCAGGTTGCAGGCACACAGCCCTGCGCAGACCACCTGCGGTTTGACTGCCGCTGCCAGAGGCTCAGAGAGGTGCAGGGGCACGGGACAAACACAGGCGCCAGCTAATTCAGCCAGGCACTTCCAGGGCCATGTCTGTCCTGGGACGTAGTGAAACAGATAAACCAGCAGCGCTGGGTGCTGCTCTGTGCCCAGGGGCAGTCCTGGAGCACACCAGTGTTATTACTGAACACAGGATTGCTGCCCCACCAGTGCGCACACATTCCCCCGTGCCCCTCAGCCCCTTGCCTGCCCTTGAACACCCAGGACGTACCTGTTTACGTTGAAAGTGGACTTCCAGCTTCATGGAGGCACATGTGTTCAGGGTCATCAGCCTCCTGCAAGAAACCAAGAGAGGCTTTACCCTGGTCCTGGCCCCTGCTGGGGCCGCGGTGCTTGCTGCTTCTTTTTTTTTCTGTTTCTGTCTTAGAGCCCTTGTTGTTCATTGTCACCTGTCACCCAGCAGCTGCGGCTCCAGGGATCAGAGGGACATGCGGAGCCCGGCACAGCTCCACGCCTGCTCCCAGGGGAGCGCAGCACCCCAAGCTGCACCCCTGCCCGCAGAGCTCTGCAGGCACCCCGCGCCTCCGCCACCCGCCCAGGCACCCAGCCGCATGCGCCTCGGGCATCGCAGCCAAGGGGTGAAGCTGCCCAAGCGCACGAGTGGCACAAGCCCTTGGTTGTGCGCCAGTGGGGATTTTGCAAGCACAGCCATCGGAGCGGCACCCCACTTCTTCCGCGCAGGCACCTGGACGTCCTGGCCGTGCCTAAATGCCTGCAGCCACCCCAGTGCCCGGCGTTTGCTCTCCTGCAGCCGCAGCATCAAAGGACGCTCATCTCCCACCGCTCCTGCCACCACCGCGCTGCCGGGGCCACACGGGTGCCGGCCACCTCTCAGGCAGCGTTTGCTGGGTGTCCTGGTTCCTTCTGCATGCTGAGGGTTTGCCTTGGCCGTGAGCTGGCCCCACGGATGGCTGCGGGGAGCAGCTGTGACCCCCCCTCTGCTGCCCGTGGAGGAGCAGCCCGGCACGAGGGCTGCCGGTGGCACTTCTGCTATTCCTGAGAGCAAACCCACAGCGGGCTTGGGGAGACCTGTTCCCTCAAGCAAGGCTGCCAGGCCCCCAGCTGGGCCTTTCACCTTTCTCTAGCCTACAGCTTCAAGTCCTGTTTTTTTCTTTTCTTTACACAATTGAATGCATCTCCAACTAATTCACTTTAATCAGCACCTTCAAGAACACTACTACAAGCACTTCTGTTCCAGCGTGCAAATACCAGTCTACACAGCCAAAAACAAACCTCACGGACATTTTACCAAAAATTTGACTAATGCCCCTCTTGCGATCCCACTGAAGCCCCCCGACCAACAGCATGGTCCTGCAGTGCATCCTGCGGCAGGATTAAATGCATGAAGTCTGGCAGAGGGAGCGAGATGGGAGCACACGTGTGCTAGGGGGTAAGAGAACACGTCCAGGGGATTCATTTTCTTGGCAGAGCTGCATTTTCCAGTGTCCTTCTAGACCTTTCTGTTAGCCAAATGCTGCAAGGGGCTACCTCAGGGATTCTAGAGACAGCTTGGGGGGCCGGGGACATTTCTGCCCTGCGTGGCCCACCCAGCCGCACAGGGATGACCTGCTCCAGGTTATTAGAGCAAAACAATCTCAGAAGCTCCTGCGGCCAGCCAGGCAACGACAAAAGGACCCAAAAGCTCAGACAGGGCGGAACGGCCAGAGACCTCTCGTCACCTCCCGCCTCACTGCCACCACCGGGAGGGAAAACCAGGAGCTCGCCAGGCACCCGGGAAGCAGCGCAGGGGATCCCCTCCTGCCTGGCGCAGCAGCCTCTCTGTTGGGAAAACAAATAAGCAACAGACCATTTTCCCATCCCTTCCCTGTTCTGTTTGGCAGCAGTGTGTGTGGGAGGGACGGTGAGAGGCAGCGCTCATTTCTCGGCGTGGAGTCAGCGCGGGGGCACGGGCACGATGATGTGGCCCGAAAGCCAAGGCAGGGCTGAGTCACCCGCAGCGCTGGGTGACACACGGCCCGTCCGGACAGACAGACCATCTGGACAGACAGACACTGGGACGGGAGCAGGGGGGTCCCTCCTTTTGGGTGTTTGCTCTTGCTCACACTGGCAGCGCTGGGAGAGTTTCCCCCCGAAACACATGCTGCCTCCCTGCAGCAACACGCCCAGCAGCATCTCCCAGAGCTATTTTCAGCCCTGCTGCTGCAAGGAGTAGCGTGTCCTGGTGGAAAATGTACGGCAGCGCTGCGTTGCCAGGCGCCGGGATGACTAACGTCACACGAAGCCAGCAAGCACTTGTGAACGCAAAAATCCTTGGTCAGAGCAGCCGACAGAGCAGTTGTTCCAGGGAAGAGGGGGGACCCACCAGCACAGACTTCACCTGTGCAAAGCAAATCACCATGCAAACCCCCCCCCCCCCCCCCCCCGCCACTGCGGTGGTCGAAATTAAAACACAGCCCGAAAGTCACACGAAGAGGAGAATTATTCCTGAGAAATGTTTCTGTTCTCCAGGAGCTCTGTATGTTCAAACCAAAACCGCTGTCGTTTCCCTGGCACCACCCAACAGCCAGCAATGCTTTCTGACTTGAAAGACTAACGAATCCAAACTCCTCGTTGCAGAGGGAGCCACAGCGCCTGAGCGGGCTCTGAGCCGCAGCCGGGGTGCAAGGCAGTCACCCCACAGCACCCACCGCCCTGTCAGCCCCGGGGATCGCAGGCAGCCCGGGCACCTGCCCTGAGCCCTCGCCTGGGGCGAGTCCTTGCGCTGGCTCTGCTGCCTGCGGCGGTGAAGGGGTGCAAGGGAGCGTTACCTGCACAGGGATTTGAGGGAGTCCTGGTCCAGGAAGCTGTGGTCCTTCTTCACAGCGCTGATGTCGAGAGGGAACGACGAGTCTGGGGAGGAAAGCAAGAGGAAAATCAGCAGCCGTTTCCGAGCCAGCCGCTCCATCAGGCACAAGGGCCAGCAGTGAGTGTGGGAGGAGGGAGATGCTGCAAGGAGCAAGAGGAGGAGAGACACCGAGGGAAGCGGGAGAGCAGCGGAGGGGAAAGGCGTGGGAGTCTCCTGGGCCATAAGTACCAGTCGGAAGAAGCCAGGAAGGCTGGGGCATTGCATTGCCACTGGGAGCTGCCACCCGTGACAGCCATGGCTGCGGGAGCGGAACCTACAGAGAGGGATGGTCCTACCGAGCTGGCTGGAAGGCAGCTCTCTGCAGGCAGGATTCGACCCGGGCTCCTGGCAGCAGCTCCTCCCAAGGGATCGCTTTTTCCTCGCAGCTCCAGGAGCCAGCCAGCAAAGAGCAAGAGCAAGACACAGACAGGGGCTGGCGTGGAGGGGCCGGGGATGCCCTGGTGCCGTGGTGGTGAGCGCAAGTCAAGTGCAGAGGTGGGAGGGATGAGCCAGGCAGAGGAGAGAGGTGGAAATAAGCCCCACCGGGCCGGGAGCGGGAGGGCTTGCAGCAGCCCTGATGCTGGGAGGGGATCAGTGTCATGCAGCAGATACCCCTCGCATCACCTCCTGCTCAGATCGCTTCCCCCTTGCAGGACAAACAACCCGGTCACTGCGCCGGGGACCTTGGCAAGCCCAGGACAGTTAAAGCCCATGGGAAAGGCTCCTGCTGGGCTGGGGTGCTAGCCTGGCTTTAGCACTCGGCGAGATGAGCTGATTCAGAAATAAACACCAGCCCTTGGCAGTGCTTTCACACACCCACGCAGGTACCCTGCGCAGCTCTGCTCCCAGCTGAGCACATCTGGAGCCCGGGCTGCCCCTCCTCGGGGGTGCCGGCTGGGCGTACTGCAGGGGGGATAGGGACCCCCTCGGCTTCTCCCCTCAGCATCTCATAGTGGTTTTTGGAGAGTGGCCGCCTCCCTAACACTGCCCAAGAGACATCTTGGTGCCCCATAAGGCAACACATTACCCATGCATTCATCTCTCATCAACAACTCCCTTCTCCCACTGATCCCCCAGGGTCAAGAAAGCCTTTCAGCTCCCCTGGGGAGAACTGGGAGCTGCTAAGAGGTTGCCCAGGGGCAAGAAAGCCATACCGGTATGGTGGTATGGTAGATCTAGCATATCATTCAATCCCCCCACACGCCTCAAAAGCCATGGGTCAGGTCTCCACAGGCTCGCTGGCCTCAGGGCAGTAGCTGGAGGACCACCCAGCGGCAGCACATGCCCAGGGTCTTTGGGCAGTGCTCTTTCCAGGTAAGTTAGGTGAGGGTGGCGAGGTGCCCAAGGGCCTCCATCCAGTTCCCTGCACATCTCTGTGCACTCAGAGACAGCTCTGCTGGGACCAGCTACGTAGGATCTGGACCATTAACCACAAGTGTCTAAGCCCGGCTGTTAATGAAGCTATCGAGTGCAATTACCAAGGGGATGCTGAGCCCTGCCAGCTGGGGAGAAAAACAGAATGAAACACTCAGAGGATGTGGAAAGTTTTGCTCAGAGCGGCTGGAAAAAGGGTTAGTTTATTCATAGACTCCAGCACCCAGCACCCGCTCCTCGCCGCCCCGGGCTGTAAGCACTATTTGGGGCTGACACCTGGGGCTGGGTCTCACCTGCAGGAATCCGGCCAGTCCTTGCACGTGGCCGTGCTAGGAGCCTGCCCCCTAAAATAGAAACCAGAGGCAAACAGGCAGCCTGTAAAGCCATCACCCAGGGGGCAAGAGCGTGGCTCCCGTGCACGTGTTGCGGGGGGCGGTGGAAGTGCCCGGCTGAACAATAGCCATCGCTGCAGCCCGCCGGAGACCAGGCTTCCCGCTATTGTCCCGGCCAGCCGGGGCCGGCTGCAGCCACCGCTCCTCAGCACTGGCCCCCCCCGGCAGGGACCAGCGGTCCCGCCATGGGTTTGAAGTAAACACAGCTGAGCCGGAGGCGAGACCCACCACCAGAGTCACCCTGCAAACCGCCCGTGGGTGCACACGGCAGAGGAGATGGGAGCGGGTCTGTTGGGGGGGTCTGCCCATCCCCTGCGCCCTGGGAGCTGCGTGGCACAGGGACCCGGTCTGCTCCGGGCACAGCTTGCGGCGTACTTGGAAAGTGCAGACCTTGCTGCCAAATAGCATATCGGGGCAGGGCAGGATCCTGCAGGATGCGTCAGCAGGGAGGGAGGGAGGAAACGCTCGCTCTTCACATTACCTACATTGGCTGCCTCTGCGCTCCCACCCACTGCAAACACTCACTGAACTACTGAAGAGCCGATGGCTCTCCAAAGCCTGCCTGCCCTTGGCCTGAGCAGCCGCCCCGGGGACTCCTCACAGCCCTGCCTGAAGGGGAAAAGTTCAGGAATGCAGAAAAGTTAACAGCATGGCTGGCTCTCCAGGCCACGGCCAAGTCCAAAGGCTTGAAGTTTTAACACATGATCATATAATTAGTAAACAGTCCTCTCTGTCCTCTCCTCTCCCCAGCACTTTGTGAGCTCTCCTTGCAGCCACCATTGGCATTTGGTTGAGACACAGGATATGAGACCAGGTACAGGGCAGGGACTGGGATCAGCAGGAGGCAGCTCTCACCTTCGTAAAGCTGGGCATACTGAGGGAATCCCGCCGCTCGCAGCCAGTCACAAGCTTTCTTGGCTTCGATTTCTGAAAGAAAGCAAAGAACCAGCCTGAGCATCCCGGCCGGCAGCAGCCATGCTCCCCGCAGCGGCAGCGTCTTCCCCCCCAGCTCCCGCTGCGGGAGTGCTCCGGCAGTGCCCGAGCCTGTGTTTCATGGGCACAAAGCGGAGGAAATGATCGACTGCAAAAACGGGAACCGGGGAGCCTGGGGATGCGCTGGTGGGCAGCGATGCCCATGCGTGGAGGGGGGTCTCTGCCTAAAGGAGCAGAAACTGCTCAGCTTTAGCCTCTCCGCTAGCACAAGGCAAAGAGGAGGAGGTAACACAGGAGTGATAGGGCCACATGACACAATTTTAACCTCCCAATGAAACATTTTGTTTCCGAACCCACCAAACCAAATACAGTACTTTGCCAGGCAAGAGAGGAAGATCTTTATTTTTAACGATTAGTTCAGAGCTCATCAAAGCTTAGGGCCGGTCACTTCATGGGTCTTTTCCAAACATCCTCCAGAAAAGCCTGCCAAAGAAACCTTTCCTTCTCCCTTGTCCTCCCCACCACCCCAGACCACCCCACCTCTTCTTTCAAGCTGGCGTTCATCCTGGCAAGCACCAAAACCCTGATGGTTTTCTACACCCCCTGCCTGGCCGGTTCCCATCCCTCACACGTGGTTCAGCTATCACCTGGATGAGCCCATCCAACGGCCAGCACTATTTTTTAGCAAATTTCTCAAATTTACAGAACTTGAGGGAAAACAGCCCAAAGCTCACGCAGCCAAAGCAAGCTGCTGCCTGGTGTCGGCAATCCATCGGTCTGCAGAGATTTATACTTCTGATGGTAACAAACATTTGACCTCAAGCGTAGAAAATGGGATGGCAGTTTCAGGGTCTTGCCTGTCCCTCTCGGAGGCACCACCCAGCACAGACTGGACTGAGGCCGGATCCACCCAGAGCGGATTGCAGTGAAACACCCCAATTTCATCACCATCCACCAACAGCCTCAGCCGAGAGCTCTGGCTGCATTTACAATTACAAAGCTACAGCAGGGCGAAAAAAAAATAGCCCTAAACAAGCAGTTCAGTTAAGGACAGGACCAAGCCAAAACCCTGGACCCAAATACTTCAGAAGTTTTGGGAAGAAGGTTTGGAATAAGCATCTGCATCCCGGTCCAAACTGTGCAGCTGTCCTTAGCCGTGCCGTGAACCCAGCCAAAGTCCGTGGATGACCCCTCCTGCCCTCGACAGGGCTCAAACCCAGTAACCCCAGCAGAGACCTCAACCCTGGAGCCCGACCAGGTCAGCCCGGTCCCCGTGGAGCACCGCATCCCTCCCGCATACCCCAGCACCTCCGCAGGGAAAGGCGCCCTGCAGCTGTGACTGTCCAGCTGGGAGGGCACCAAGACTCCTGGTCCATGTGAATGGTCTTTGGTCATGACAGCTCCGGAGAGCAGATCCCTCCCGAATCCGCAGGGCAGGTAGGGTCCAAGGATGGGTACTTCCCACAGCCCCCCGGCCAATGGACCTGCCAGACCCCCCTCCTGCTCTGCTCTGCTCCTCCTTCACTACAACGGAGTCGCTGGCCATGGGGCCATCACAGCCAGAGGCTGCAGCTCAGGTACCCCCAGCCAAGAACAGAAACACCAATCTCCCAACCCGCTACTGCCCTGTGATGTCTTGACCCCCCCTCTGCCCACTGCCCCCAGGGAGGGATGGGTCTGGCGTCCCCCCCAGAGAGGACAGCAGAAGGAAGGGCAGCCAGAAGCAGAGCCACATGCCGAGCTTACCCCTGATGGTGGAGGGGCTGAACTGGTAGAAGAGCATGGCCGGAGTGCCGATCGGCACCGCTCAGCCGGCCAGGCGGTCAGAGGACATGCAGGAGCCGTGTGGCACCCAGCGTGGCCGCGGCCGTGCCGCAGGGCTGGGGAGCAGCCGGAGGCCAGGGCTGCAGTCTGCAGCAGGATGCTCCCGCGCAGGACTGAGCTCGGCCGCCCATCGCCCCGGTGGAAACGAGGAGTCAAAGCACGACATTTCCTTCCCCTCCTTCCCCTCCTCCCGGCTCAGGGGCTGGCGGGGGGGGGTGAGGGGGTGCGTATCTCTCCTCGCCCCGTTTTGGAGCCGGGTCCCAGGCTTTACCCACTGCGGCGAGTCCTGCATCCCCCCCCGGAGCCCCACGTAGCGGGAGCAAGCCCACCAAGGGCAGGGGGGCTCTGCCCATCCCAGGCGGGAGCCCTCCCTACATCGAAGCACTGGCACAGAAAAGGTTTCCAAGTGTCCCTGTCCCAGACGGAGCCGGCGGCCAGCTTCCTCCTCCCGCCCGCCCTTCCCACAGACGTGCTTTCCCAGGGAAGTGCAGGAAAGGACGGGCAGGCAAACACTCCTGCCGAGCACACAAGCGGGGGGTGAACTACCCGCGGGGGGGCACGGCTGCGGCGGCAGCACCAGGGCCACAGCTGAAACTGTGCACAGGGTCACCCATTGCAAGCCATGTCCCCAGCCCTCCCCGCAACCTCCCCGAGAGCTTCGCTGCCAGGGCAAGGTGACGGGGGACCCAAACCCCGCACCGGACAGCCGGCAGCACAAGCGCCTGTCTGCAGCCTCTGCTGGAAATCCAGCCCGAGCCCCCGGGGGACGCTGCCTGGAGACCCTCCGCTGCCTCAAGCTGGGCAGGGAAGCCACGAGCAGCAGCAATGGAGATGGATTTCCAACAGGGCTGTGTCTCCAGATGTGCGGATTCTCTGATGTCTAATAAAGGCTCATCACACACTACACCCACCCCTCAGCAGAGCCGGGAAGAGAGTCTCATTGCCTTCTCTGGCCAGCAAATTATTTTCATGAGCTTGTACTAACTTAATATCTTTGCGATCTGTAGTTTAAATGTGACGGAAATGATCCCATTCGAATTGTATTGCAGGAGGAGCAGGCACGCCGACACCGGCAGACAGGCACATAAACACGCAGAGAGCCTGCGCTTCCCTACGAAACGAGAGGATAAATCCCACAAAGCCGCCTTCCCACCACACACTGAACCCAACCTTGGAGGAGCCCAAACGCCCCCCCACGCACGGGGCACCCACTGCCGCAGAGCTGGTCTGCGACGGCGCGAGTCGCGCGTGCCAGCCTTTTGTGGGTCCTAACCGAGGAACAAGGAGCAGATGAAAACGGGACACAACAAGATGGCAGCGCTTCCACCCGGGCTTTCACAGACGGCTGCAGCAGGGGAAGAGGGGCTGGTGGGTTCCTGGTAATTCCTGCTGGGTTTCCTAAGACGACTTGCGCAAGCCTTCTCTGTCCACATGTCTGCATTACCCCGGCTGTCAGTACCACCACCAACCTGCTGGCCACCTTCACCCACATCTGACAGAGGAGCGAAGACACACATGTACAAAGCTGCTAACCAGTTTCATGAAAGCAGCTGGACAGGTAGATGAGAGGCCCCATTACAGCTCCCGCTTCAGAGGAAGCTCTCTGTGTGAAATGAGCCCTCGGTAAACGCCTGGATGTCCCGGTGGCGGGGGGGAGGGAACCAGCACCAACGCACTTGCTGGAAAAAGCTCCTGACAGTGCACAACCCTTACGAGCCACCAGAGAATCCCCTTCAGGCAAAGCCTCTGCCCTTTTCCGGCAGCTGCTGAGCCTGGATGGTGTTTCCCAAGGAAAAGGCATCCACAGCCACTCCCTCCAACTCTTGTACCCAACAAGGGGCACACGCCGCGGCCCACGTGCCACCGGGGTCCGGTGGGGGCAGCTCCACCAGCTCAGCTGCGCAGGGCTGGCGCTGGCTGCTGCAAAGTGACCTGGCGACGGAGGGCACTGCTGGCCCGCGTCTGCCCAAACAGACTGGGAACCAGGACCCTCCCAGCACGCCGGGGCGAGAGGCGGAAAGCAAAAACAGAGAAAGAGAAGAGTCTCATTTTGCTACTGAAAGTAAAAGAAAAGGATGAAAACCAACATGAAAGTGGGAAAAAAAGGACAAAATTCCCCTAATCACCTTCCTGCACAGTCACTGCACCGTGGCATTTCCCTGGATGTAACCCACCGGCGGGGGAGCACCGAGACCCGCGCCGGGTCCGTGGTGTTTGGAGCCTGACACCTCTCCCTCGAGTGCTTTTGGTGCTACAGCTACCCCACCCCTGACCTGGCACAGGCATGGATGGGGAAAAGCCCGGGAGATGCAATAAAAGCTCTAACACGAGCGAGCTGGAACACCGGAGGCCAACGTAATTACGGGCAGGAAAGCCACTTCCCAGAACCCCGGCTCTGCACTTTCGCTTTAAAAATCAAAAATAAAAAACGAGAAGTCACACCCCATGATCCTGGCTTCTCACAGCAAGTTTCCAAATTCCCCACAAAAAGTCCCACACAGCCAATTACTGTGTGAAAAGAAACCCACATCATAAAATTGCCCATACGTTACCTAATGGAAAGCCGTGAAACCAGCTGCCCGGCAGATGCGGGCGGGAGCTCTGAGCCTCCGGCTGTCACGCTCCAGCGCTAGCGCGGGGAACTCTCTTTTCTTTTTGGTGTGTTTTCTTTCCATCCCGCCTTAAAATAAACTGTTGCCTACAACAGTGACTATGCAGAAGGGAGCTCAGCTTCCCTTCCCAGTCTGTAAACAGAAGTATTTGCCTACTTTTTACAGAAATGACAGAAAATCCTGACACATCTCCCAAAGCAGGGGTTTGTGCCTTCACTGCTTGAGAAAGTGAGGAGCTGAAACAACAGTTTCCCATGGGAAACGCGTATCCTGCTGCTGCTGAAGGTACCAGGGCCGGGGCATTGCCAGTGTACGTGAAGTTAAAGATGAATTAACTCTGGCTGCGACGCCCAGCGCTGTGGTCACAGAAATCAGTGTCGCCTCTCTGAACCGAGCATCGCTCAAACCCATTCGAGGGCCAACTCTGGACCCCTCCATGCTGACTGAAGGCACCTCTCCTCTCCCCTTCCAGCATGCTTAGAAGAGGCGCCCAGAGGAAGCCCCCGCGCTGCCTCCCACGCTGTGCCGGGGCTGCGCTCACGGCGCTGGACTCGCAGC